TAAAAAGAAAACATATCTTCACATTAGCAGAGCGCTGACGCTGACACGGGACAAGTGTAATCTAGAAATGTTTGAAGGAGAGAAAGAAGTATGACAATCAAGGAGGCCATAAACGCGTCCTACAATTGTAGCGTCGACTGACGATACGGGCCATAATGGGTTTATTTTCTATTCTAAAGGTTGGGTCCAATATAGGTATAGCCACAAGTCTGTCCGATACCTACCCTGAAGAAATTATAAAAGCATTTATCATGTGCTTTTCGGAAAATATCTCCTCGTAAGAGATATTTTTTCCGACTTTAACGGATGGCATACACTCGTAAGTGGCAAAATAAAAGTAAAGATTGAAATGACTTGCAGTAATCTTTCTTTTGAGCCATTTGTGATGTAATTGATAAGAAATCTGGACCCTGGGTTGTTGCAATGAGAACATTTGATCAGCATCACTTGGAGGATACAAGTCAATGTTGGGGGCGAATCCATCAAATTCACTTTTCCCATAAGAATGGTGCGTAGTTGTAATTGGAAACGTACCTGAAAATGTCTGAAAGATACGTAAAATAACAGTAGCAAGTTATAGCGGAATCTGTTCACTATAAAGGCAGGGATCATGTCAGAACCAGATGATCAATACCCATCTGACGATCAACAAACAATTTTTTGAACGGTTTGTGTTAGTGCAAATTCGGATTGATGAAATTGATGCATGAATTCTGTTTTAGCTTAAGAATGGCAGTTGAAAATTTAAAGATGGCGAGTAAGCGTCATTTGGGAACATTTTGTAAATGGAATGAGGGGTTATTAAATTGGAGCGTTTTTTGCATAACTCAACAACCAAATATCATCTCCAGAAAGGGTCTATACAAATATGTAATGAAATATGGTACATTCTAATGGGTGATTTTTTTGCTAGTATCTTTTTGGCAACACTGTTTTTGACAGATGACGCGTGAATCGTGTCTTGTGTCATTGTCAAACTTGTTCGGTTTGGTCTATAATTTAACCATGAATCGACTTACGAACGAACAACGCTTGCAAATTATTGAATTTTACTATCAAAATTCATGCTCGGTTAAGAGAGTGCATCGAGCACTGCTTCCAATTTATGGGCAATTTGGTCGGCCTACTGAGGGAGCTATTCGGAAGCTTGTGACTAAATTTCGAACCCAGTTTACATTATTGGACATTAAACCACCAACACGCAGACGTAGAGTGAGGACTGAAGAAAATATTGCGGCTGTATCCGCCAGTGTTAGTGATGACCGTGAAATATCGATTCGCCGCCGTCCGCAGCAATTGGGCCTCTGTTACTCCACTACGTGGAAAATTTTGCGACAGGATTTGGGTGTAAAACCTTATTAGATACAGCTGGTGCAAGAATTGAAGCCACACGACCTCCCACAACGTTTCCAATTTGGTTGAATGGGCGCTGGCGAAGTTGGAGGAAGATCCACATTTTTATCGAAAAATTGTGTTCAGCGACGAAGCTCATTTCTGGTTGAATGGGTACGTTAACAAGCAAAATTGCCGCATCTGGAGTGAAGACCAGCCAGAAGCATTGCAAGAGCTACCAATGCATCCCGAAAAAATCACTGTTTGGTGTGGATTATGGGCCGGTGGCATCATCGGGCCGTACTTCTTCAAAGACGACAATGGCCGGAACGTAACAGTGAATGGCGAGCGCTACCGTGCGATGATAACACATTTTTTTTGCCTAAAATGGAAGAGCTGGACTTGGCTGACATGTGGTTACAACAAGACGGTGCCACATGCCACACCGCACACGAAACAATGGTCCTATTGAGAGGCGAGTTCGGTGAACAGTTTATCTCACGTTTGGGGCCCGTCAATTGGCCGCCTAGATCGTGTGATTTAACGCCGTTGGATTATTTCTTGTGGGGCCATGTTAAGGCTAATATCTACAGGGATAAACCAGCAACGATTGACGCACTGGAAGCCAATGTTGAAGCATTTATTCGTGAGATACCGGCCGATATGTTGGAGAGAGTGTGCCAAAATTGGACCGTGCGCATGGGCCATCTAAAGCGGAGCCGCGGCCAACATTTACATGAAATAATCTTTAAACATTAAATTATATCGACCGTTCTATCGACTCAAATAAAGATTTAATCGTTTTTTTGAATTTTTTGTGTTTTTTTGAAAATCAAATTCTATACCTCTTAAAAAATCACACGTTATTAAAAATTGACAAAATCTGTCATCTTTTTAAATTGATTGTGTCATACTTTATTGTACATTCACATAGATCGTTCTAAAAGAAGAAAATTGAACAAAATCTGTCATGTTTTTAAATTGATTGTGTCATACTTTATTGTACATTCACATAGCTCGTTCTAAAAGAAGAAAATTGAACAAAATCTGTCATCTTTTTAAATTGATTGTGTCATACTTTATTGCACATTCACATAGATCCTTCTAAAAGAAGAAAATTGATATAAAATATATTACAACAACGTTTGGATGATCTGCAAAACGTTCGCCAGTTTTGACCTAACAAACAAGGTAAAAAATTGCTTCAAAATAAACTAATCTTAAAATACTCTACGGGGCCTTGTAGAGCAGGCTAAATATACCACACGGTAATCTATTTAAAATTTGTTTAAACATTTTCATAAACAAATTACAAAATTGTTTGCCCAGACGAATTTTTTTTTAATTTTTTTTGATCATTCTTAACAAAACAGTAGTAACTTTCAAGTATCTAAATTAACGTTTAATCCTTGCTCTGTGTAAAGACCCAGAAGAGTATTTTAGGTTTAATTAATTTTAATGCGATATTTAACCTTATCTCTTAGGTCAAAATTGGTGAACTTGATTTTTACAGAAAGAGGTTCAACTTTGACAGCCTGCCAGTCCCTCGTTTTAAAAATTAATAATAATAATAATAATAATAATAATAATAATAATAATAATAATGCCTTTCTTAGCTGCAGTGAGGCAAAGTTTGGCCAGACGGCTACTCTTACACTCAATCCCACAACAGAAAAATACTTAAACACATAAACAAAATAATAACATACCAAAATAATACAGTTCATAAGAATGACAACATTGACTGCACCAGACAAATGCAGATAGTATTGTGAGAGTTTTAAATTTGAAACAAAAATAGTAGAAAATAGTAAAAAAAGCACATGAACACAAGAAAAACTGAACTAAATGGACTCCAGCAGCTGACTTTTCACTAATTTCTTAAAAGAAGCAACCTGTTTGGATCGATAGCCACTGTTGACTTCATTGTAATGCTTGACAGCGTTATAGGTGTAACTTCTTTCAAAGACCGAGGTATTGTGAGGGGGCATGTTAAAATTAGCATTAAATCTAAGAGCTCTGGTAACAACACTACCACGGTGGACTAATTTGCTAGCGAGGTAAGCTGGTCTAGAACTTTATGCGTGAAGACGGTCAAAAGATATAAAAATAACTTATCAATTCGCAACCAGTTGAGTTCTTTGATTTTATCTGAGACGCGGCTAAACTTGCGCAATCCAAAAATAAACCTACAACAGCTGATCTGAATTTTCTGGAGTTTCCTTTTGTGGACGTAGTCTAAACATGGGTAATAAAGAACAAGATAGTAAGAAATGACAGACAACACAAGACTTTCGGCGAGCTTATTTCGGGTTTTAAAATTCAAGATGAATCGATTAGAATAGAGGAGTTTCAAACGCATATACGTTACTCTAGCGTTACTCAAGCTTAACACCGAGATTCTTGGCGTAATCTTCAAAAGGGATGAGTGTCTCATGCAAAAAACACAAATCCTCTTCTTCGTTTCACGATAGGAGTTCTTCGAACAGTACAACATTGCAGTAGTTTTATTAGGATTGATCTTCAAGTAGTGTTTGTTACAGTAATCACTGATGTTGGCCAAATCTAAATTAACTTTAAGAGAAACTTCATCAACCTTTGATGGATCGAAACCAAACATTAACTGAGTATCAACTGCATAAGTTTGTATACTACAGTGGACTAAACAGTCTTGCAGATCGATCGTATAAATCAGATATAGTAATGGACCTAGTACTGAACCCTGTGGAACTCCTGAAGGAACTGGCTCAGTGGAGGAAATTCCCTGATCAGTTTTCACTTTTTGTTGACGATTTAGCAAGTATGACTCAAAGAACCTTAGAACTATATCTGACATTCCATAATGAGATAACTTACTCAGTAGTATCTGGTGGTTGACCATGTCAAAGGCTCTCGAGAAATCTAACAGTACCAAGACGGTGTTGATGTGATTATCTAAATTGTGAATGATGGAATCAGTAAGATGTAATAAAGACGAAGTAGTGCTGTAACCAGCTCTGAAACCTGGCTGATGTAGAGGAAATAAGTGATTTTGTATTCTACGGTTATAAGGTACATATTAAAAGAATATTACAAGATGAAATGAAATTTTCAAATGTTATTTTTACGTAGTATCCATACGTCAATTATTTCATCCCGAGTTTCAGCTCACTAGCCTGACCCGTTAAAAAATAATTAGGAGGGACCTTTTTAAAAACCACTGTACGAGGTCTGTAAACTAAGTGATGAGACTCGCAACGTAGCGTTCGATCTGGTATTACTGGCCGCGCTTGGAGGGGAGACATGGTAACATGTGATCCGTCTCAGTACAAGTTTGAACTCGCTCAAGTGTTTTGTTTGTGAGTAGCAATTTTTTTTGTGAAGAGCCTACGGAATTGAGTCCTTGTGACTTTTTTCTTCCCTAAGTTGGAAAATCACCTCATTTTGGGACAGTCGAAAACATTCCAACGGCTGTAACCGACCAGCTGAGGGCTATTTTAATTATATTTGAATAAAAAAATAGAAAGATAGTCTCATCACTTAATTTACACACCTCGTATATCAGAGGTCCGAGAATGCCACAACTTTGCTACGCCTTTTACATCGACTTGCATACGCACATTATATTGTTAGAATTTTATCTCACTGTTATTTTATCTGTGTCTAATTCCCAGTATGCAGAATATCACAGATGCTAAATAATAGGATTATAATGCTAAACAAATCGTGGTTAGTTTTAAAACAAAATCTTGTATTTACAATCAGCCAGCTGTAGATTAGAAACCTTTAATGAGGAACCAAAGTTTCCTATTGTTTGTAGATGATAATGTCCCTTACAAATAAGGGATCGTGTTGCCTTGGTCAAGTTTAATCAGATACAAAATGTGCAGCGACGCGGACAACTGATTTGATACTGTATTACTAAATCGGGATGGAATTATAGTGTTGATACAAACTTACATGACTAGTTCTATTTACATTATTCATATTTGAACCATTGGAATCAGACATAAACAGAGAAGAAATCATCAGAAACTGTAATAATGCAAAAAAGAAGTTTGAGGTTTAGAAAAAACTGTGACATCGTTGACAACATGGAAGAAGTTGTTTTAAGAAAATACTTCAACGAGAGAATGAAGAATAATATGAAAAAGACTGGCTTGAAAATCGTGATACCAAAATCGGAGGATCCACTTGATGAATATTATAGAAGCTCTAGAGAACATGAGGTTCTGGATCAATTTATTAGTGAAGGTAATTTTTTTATTATTAATCATTTTACGCTCCAGGTGAGGTTTTTTGATGTTACATTACTAAAATCTATGCCACTCATTTTCTTTGGTCTGTCTATATGTGTGTGTTCTGCGCCATCTGTTATCTGTTAGTGAATGTCTGATCATCTACACTACTCAACAAAATTAAGGGAGTAAGAAGAAAATCAAAATTTTAAGGTGATCTTTGGTAGGCCGTATTTCAGTGGAATTTGAAGCTCTAAAATTCAAGTTTCCTGTTTTTTTTAGCCGAAAAACTTTAGGAGCAACGATACTCATGCAATTCCAACAGATAGCGCAAGAAAAATGTTTTGCACGCTTTTTGACTTCTTTTTAGTCCACGGATTTTTTTCTGTTAGGTCATCACATGAACCGGATAACCCGTTTATTCAGCTTCAATATTCTGTTTTTAAAACATTGATACGATCATATGGCGCGGCGATAATCGATTTTGAATAAAAAAGGATCCCTTTGTCATCGATCACTGATACCTCGATAATCTGTGATCGCACAGAAAATGTAAGTGTATTTCCAAAAACTGGAATAAGCATGAAATAAAATTTGATTGCAATCTTTGAGGATTTTTTTTGTTTACTCAGTATTGATTTTGAAAAATCAAAAAAGGTACTTTTACCCTTTTTTGGAAAATCTATCGCATTTTTGGAACTGGTAATGAGTTGGCTAATGTTTTCAGTTCTTTCAATACCTCAATGTACCCCTAATAATTTTGCACGACGGCAGAACGATCCATTGTACGGTTTCTCCGGACTGATTGCTCAAAATTTCAAAAAATCAAAGGAGCAACATTTTCGCATCAAAATATCATGTATTCCGGTTGGAAATGGAAAAATCATTTTTCGAATTTTATTGTCACAATTGGATATCTGTAATATCTTCAATTTCAAAAAAAAATTAAGATTCATTCCAGTATTCGGAAATACTCTTACATTCTCTGTTTACCAAGATATCAGTGGTCGATGACAAAGGGACCCTTTTTCACTGAAAGTCAGATATCTCCGCGCGAAATGATCGTATCGAGATTTTAAAAACATAATACAGCTGAATATACGTGCTATCCGATCCACATCATGGCCCATCAGGAAAAATGCCAAGCCCGTGGACTAAAAAGGAGACAAAAATTTTGCATAAAATTTGTCTTGTGGTACCTATAAAAATTGCATGCGGGTCGTTGCTCCTAAAATTCTCAAAAATCATTGAAAACTTTTGATTTTTTTCTTGCTCGTTTAATGTTTTTAAATAGTGTATAATTCGGAAGAATCTATGCTCAGATGTTGATGGAATTTTGACGAGGCTAGTGATGTATCCTGCGGATCTCCCTCTCCCCAGCACTTTATTCATATGAACCGCCCCTCTCCCTCTAAAAGTATTTTTTAGATCCGGTCCTGCACAGGGCTACTACTATGCCAAGCTTTGTAGGCTTTGAAATATGGTTGCCAGTTATGGTTAAAAAGGAAAAAAGTAAATATCTTCCATACTTTGTGTTTAAAAAACGTTTGTATCTGCCGTGCGAGTGGCTTACAGTCTCGTCAACAGAAATAGACTAGAAGCCGATAAAATTAAAAAACTAATGTTTTTAAATGAAAGTTTGTAGTTAATTTACATTTTCATTTTAGTAGAATAAAATAGAATAGAACAATGCTTTATTTGTGTGAGCCTGTAGATAGGATACAAAACGTCAAAATAAAAAGGAAAGATGTGGATAACTATACTATAACTATCTAAAACTGTAATGACTCATCGATGTTATAATATATGACATGAAAGAATTGTAATACAGAAAGCACATATAAAAATAACGTGTTACTCACACAAAAATTCATTTCTATTATAAAATGCCTTATTTAGTACGAGGTTCCAAAGTTTACTTTTGAACAATGATAAGCTGGTAATATGCTTAATAAATAAAAAGGCAATTTATTATACATGGCACTACCTAAGTACATCGGACTCTTTTTATAAGCACTGAGGTTAAAATTTTGAGTATGAATATGGGTATTATATCTAGTATTGTAGGCGTATATTTCACTGCGCTGGGGGAAAAAATCTGTATGTTCTTTAACAAATAAACATGACTCGTAGATCAATAATGACGGTAACGTTAAAATTTTATTATCTTTAAATACTGGTCGACAGCTGTCCAGTGGGTTGAGACCAAATACTAATCTAGTCAGCCTCTCTTGCAGAATGAATATTCTCTGTATGCCACAGGAAATGCCCCAATATACAGGGTGTCCCGAAAAAAGTGTGCAATATTCTACCAGCGGTTTCTAGAGCTTAAAATAGGAAAAAAAGTTTATATAAACATCCCCTAAGGGCGCTACGATCTTTTAAAGGGGCTCCCCTGAAGATGTTTTCTTTAGACAGTTTTGTTTGGAAGCGTATATAACAGGAACGGACTCAGGTTATTTTAGCCCCAAAATTTTTGTGTGATTCTATTTTTGAAATTCAATTCAAGAATTTGAAAATTCAGGGTTTTCTACATAAAAAGGTACTCTTATTGAATATCGATGAATTGTTCCATTTTTGAATAAAATCAAACTAAAAAATTTGTCACATGATAGGAAATGTACTGCGAATTTAAATGAATTGTTGAACAATTAGCCATGGCAACGAAAAAACTAATTTAATAATTGGTAAATATTACATAAATACGTTTTTCTATTGCAACATTTAGGCAAAAACAAAAGAAATTTTTTCTACGAACGAAATTTAAATTTGTTTAAAAAAGAAGACATACAAATAAATTCCCATTTTGTTGGATACAGAGTCTCGCTCGACGAACTAATGATTGCGTAGCCCGAAAAGTGGAAAACCTTTTTCTTCTTATTTCATTTGCAGCCTGATGGATTCTTTGAAGTAAATCTTCTTGAGTATTTACTTCAGTCGAGTAAACTAGGTCTTTTAATGACCCCAAAAATAGAAATCCAATGGATTTAGGTCAGGTGAACGTGGCGGCCACGCTATAGGACCTCCTCGGCCTAACCACCTGTCTGGAAAATTGACATTCAACCAATTTCGAACATATTTTCTTGAAACTGCTGGCGCACATCCAATGGTATTATATCTATGAGCTCATTCTGAAGAAAGTTCAGATACACCTCCGAATTAAGACGATTGGAAAGTACAATAGGCCCAGTTACTTGATCCCCAATTACTCCTGCCCATTAGTTCAATGAAAATCTATGTTGGAAATTTGTACGGCGAACAACTTTTGGATTTTCATCTGACCAGTGATGCATGTTATGGAAATTAAAAGCACCATTCCTAGTAAATATTGACTCATCCGACCATAATATTCTAGGAATAGTGTTTTCATTTGCTAATATCCACTGGCAAAACTCGATTCGTGGTAAAAATCTGCCTCCATTACATGCTGCACCCGTTTAAAATGATAAGGATGTAATCATTGCATTCTTGTCATTCTTCCGATCTAAAATTATTATTTTTAGGATAACTATCAAATAGATATTCATAAATTTTTCTTACTATTCATCAAAGTATATCCATGATTTCTGAAACATTTCGTATGCTCATTTGCGGATTATTTTCAAACATATTTAAAGCAATATCCATACGATGATTTCCCAGTGGCCTTCCTGAGCCCTGCATGTGCTGAAAACTTTCATGGTTTGACAAATTCCGATGAATATCAGTAAACATTCGACGTCCAGGTACTATGCGAATGGGAAATCTTCTTTGATATTCTATTACGGCTGCCTATGAACTGCCATTGCAAAACCCGTACACAAAATGCATGTCAGTCAGTTCTCTGTCTCTGCTAAAATAATCTGAGCCCGTCCCTGTTACATACGCTTCCCAACAAAACTGTCTAAAATTGTTAATATTTTTAAATCCAGCGTAAAAAAATAGGCTAGAATACCAAATTTTATGTCTTTATCTCAACACGTTTCGGAAATATTAAGGAAAGACCATCTTCAGGGGAGCCCCTTTAAAAGACCGTAGCGCCATTAGGGGACGTTTGTCGACCTATATTTATATAAACTTTTCTTCCTATTTTAAGCTCTAGAAACCGCTGGTAGAATATTGCACACTTTTTTCGGGACACCCTGTATAACCACCAAGTACTTTATGTGACAGTACGCCATTGCAAAATAAGTATTCCGGAGACACCTACGACTAACTAGACCCCGTAGGTTTCTTAATGCAAAGTATGCTGAGTTAATCTTACCAGCCACATACTCTATGTGTGTTTCTCAGGAAAGTGCTTCGTCCATATAGAGACCCAGAAATATATACTAAGTGACATATAAATCCGAACACCCAGTTTAAATGGTTTTATTTTAATAAAATTTTGTATAAGTACTTAATGAAGCGTAATAAGTAAATGATAAAAATTTCAAAATGATTGCACTGCTTTAAAGCCCCTTGACCTTTAATAATGTGTGGATGCACCCTGATGTGCCACGCATTCTCCAACGCGCCTAGGCATGCTTCTGATCAGGTGGTCAATGTCCTCCTGTGGTATCTCATTCCAGGCAACCACCAACTCCTCTCGAAGTGCTTCTAGAGTCTGAGGAGGACGTTGCAAATTGAGCAATCTCCTACCCATCATATCCCACACGTGCTCAATTGGGGATAAGTCGGGAGATCTTGGTGGCCATGGTAACAATGTGACATCATTATGTTGAAAGAAGTCTATTGTGACTCTTGCAACATGTGGTCGGGCATTATCTTGTTGGAAAGTTGGATCTGCCAGGGTGTCAAGATAGGGTAAAAGATGGGGTTCTAGAACTTCGTGGATATAACGCTGCGCGTTCATGTTACCTCTGATGAAGATTAAAGGTGACCTGGAACCATAAGCTATAGCACCCCAAACCATAACTCTAACAGTGTGATGAACATGTCTTTCAACAAAAAACTGTGGATTCCTCCTTTCACCACGTCGCCTTCTAACCCTGGCACGACCATCGTGCATGCCTAAACAAAATCGAGACTCGTCAC